TTTTGAGAGCAGGGGCACTTACTCCTAGAATTAAAAACGTCCCGTTCTTCTCAGAACGGTGATCCCGCCCTTACTGTTTAGGTACATAACGTCTCTGTTCTTTTCAGAACAGCACCCACTAGCCCCTTCCGTATCAAATACGTTTCGTAAAACTACTGCCCTCAACATGTCCACAATTACCCAAATTAAGTCCCTCGTCGCCGCCCTAAACCAAACTCTTGGTCTGGGCCTAAACCTCGATGAGACGGCCCTTGCCGCCATCGCCGCCCATGTTACTCCCCCTGCCCGTCAGGCACTCCAACCGCCGCCCGTACTTGCGGCCTACCTAGAGACAAAGAACTCTTTCGCCCCATTAGAAATGGAGTACGCATGCTCCGAGTCCTCTGCATCGGCCTCCCGGAAGAGGCCCGCCACCAATTCTGGCACCGGCTCATCGGAGTCCTGTGACTCCGACGGAACCGGGGATTCTTCGTTCACCACGGTGAACTCCAAGCGCAACGGTAAACGCGCCGCTAAAAACCGCACCCTCCCTGTCTCAGCGGCCCCTGCCGCTCCTTCAACCTCCGCTGCCGCCTCTGCCCCCGCAGCCCCCGCCGCTGCCTCAGCCCCACTTATGTCACTAGACATTCCCGCTCCGACCAAGCCAGCCTCTCGCTGTGCTCCAGTCCTTGCCAAGAAGCAAGTCCCGCCCCCTGTCTTCCTAAGAGACAAGGCTAAATTCACAGAACTCTCCAAAACCTGCTACAACGCAGGCATAAAATATGACCACGCCATCAACCTCGGGGAGGCTATTAAGATCATCCCCCAATCAATCGACGACTTCCGGCGACTCACCAGGCTATTCACAGCCGAACGAGTTTCTTATCATACATACGCTCTTCCGGAAGAGCGCAAAGTCAGGGCCGTCATCCGCGGCGTCCCCTTCGAATTTTCAAACGAAGAAATCCTTGAGGACCTTAAGTCCCAAGGTTTCCCCGTAGAAGCCGTGCACAAAATGCACAGTAGAACAGGCCAGAGGTTCTCTCTTGCCCTAGTAATTTTAACCAACGTGCCGGAGGCGAAAGCCATCTTCCGGCAGGTACGCACAGTGTGCGGCCTGTCGAGAGTGAGGGTTGAGCCTCCACATAGGCGCGGGTTCCCGGCGCAGTGCCACCGCTGCCAGCTGTATGGTCATGCGGCGGCCAACTGCTCCGCCCCACCCAGGTGCGTTAAGTGCCTTGAACCCCACAACACTAAAGAGTGTCCTCGGCCCAAAGACGCTGAATCCCCACCCGCGTGTGTCCTGTGTAAACAAACGGGCCACCCGGCTAACTACAGAGGCTGCCCTTGCGCACCTCATCCTCGCCCCAGTAGGCAAGCTCCACCGCCGGTCAATGACCGCTCATTCCCGGCTCTTTACCAACGGATGCCCCGTCAGGGCCTTTCTCAGCCCACCCAGGGCTTCTCTCGACCCTCTCAGGGTCCTCCTAGGCCCCCTCAGGGCACTATTCGGCCCCCTCCGGGCTTCTCTCAGCCTATGCAGCCTCCAGTTTTTCCCTGGGGCCCCAAAAAGGCAGTACCACCGCACACATCCTCCGCCCCTCAACCACAACAATCACAGCCCTCAATGGCTGATGACCTAAAAACGGTGTATTCCGCAATTAGGAACATCAACGTTGAGGAAATCGCTGTGTTAGCACGCAAATTGCGCGCTGCGAGGTCCCCTCAGGACCGTCTCCTCGCTCTTGCAGAGCATCATAATCTTTTGTGCTCATTGTAAGTTAAGTTAACTTAATTAACTTAACTCACAATGACAGAGCAGTTTGCTCTACCAAAATCCCACGGTCGTATCAAACCTAAGGGTTTATCGCTTGTATCCTTTAACATTCGCGGTTTGCGAAATAACCTCCCAGAGCTTAAGCTCTTTCTTCAAAATCGTGAAACCGATTTCCTCCTCCTACAGGAAACTAATCTCAATACTAAGGACACTAAAGGCCTTTCCATCAAAAACTTCTCTCTTCTTCGTAATGATAGACCCGACCGCCGAGGCGGCGGTACGGCCATTTATTACAAGAAGACACTTCACTGTTCTCCCATTTCTACTCCGCAACTTTCCAACATGGAAGCCACGGTATGCAGGCTAGCTATGACTGGACATCAGTCCATCTTCATAGCCTCCTGTTACATCCCTTCTAAAACCCTTCCCCTCAAAAAAGATTTTGAGGCTATTTTATCTCTAGGCAATTCAGTCATTATGTTTGGAGATTTTAACTCCAAGCATACTGAATGGACATGCCGTACTACCACCCGTAGTGGCAAGTTACTGCTCGATATCACGCAGTCTCTTGATATTACCGTCCACAGTCCTCTCGGTGTTACTCACTTTCCCGATAACACCGACTATGCCCCCGATGTACTAGATTTTGCGTTACTCAAAGGAGTTTCTCTCAACCTTAGGGCAATCGAGACACTAGACGATCTAGGATCCGACCACCGACCGGTCTCTCTCATTCTTGGCCATCAGCCACCACTCCCAACACCCTCTACTAAAACCTTCACAAATTGGAAGGGCTTCAAGGAGTCCCTAGCGAAAGCTCTGGACTCACAGGACTCCCCCATCTCCCTATCTTCGGACTTAGACAGTCCTGAAAAAATCGACACCGCGGTCGATTCACTCTCCACCCTTATTAAAACCTCCCTTAAGGAGAATGAAAGGGTCGTCCCGGTTGCTAATAATAGTGGGCTTCCCCTGCATATTAGCAACCTATTAAAAGCCAAAAAAGCTGCTTTCCGGAGAGCAGCAAAATATCCCACGCCCGAATATAGGCGCACGGCCAATCGTCTTCAACGAGAACTCCGTTTCCGCCTCTCTGAATTTCGAGACCTCGAAAAGAGTAAGCTCATGGAGAATATCTCTCCCTCTCATACAGCGTACTATCAGATGGCAAGAGCCCTCCGTATAGACGCTATCTTCCACACTCCCCCTCTCTCCCGTCCCGACGGTACGGTAGCCTTCGAGGACGAGGAAAAGGCTGAGTGCTTTGCAGACAGCATTGCCGCTCAATGCTCTCCTAGCTCTCAACCCGTAGACCCCTCACACGTCCAGGCAGTGGAGGATGAGGTCCGCCGCCGGAACTCGCCCCCTACAGCCTCCGAACCTATCTCTGTGTCCAATGATGAGATTTCATCCCTCATCAAAGGACTTAAGCCTAAAAAGGCTCCGGGCGCGGATGGCATCTCCAACCAAGCCCTAAAAAACTTTCCTGAGCAGGTGCTAACCCTTTTATCTATTATCTTCAATGCCTGCTTCAACCTTAGTTACTTTCCCACTACGTGGAGAGAGGCAACTGTGATTGGTATTCCCAAGCCAGGCAAGCCTCTTAATCTCCCCTCCAGTCATCGTCCCATTAGCCTCCTCAAGGCCATGGGCAAGCTCTTTGAAAGATTCATTCAAAATCGCATGAGGCGCCATCTGTTTCCCACAGACGGTGACCCTCTTATCATTCCCCATCAATTCGGTTTCCGAGCGAAACACTCCTGCCCCCAACAAGTTCACCGTATTGTGGAATATATCCTCAGCGGTTTTTATCCCCGTCGTCATAAGACTATCGCGGTCTTTTTCGACATCGCCAAAGCCTTCGATAGAGTCTGGCATACAGGCCTTATCTACAAACTATACAAAATAGGTCTCCCCGATCGTCTAGTACGTCTCGTGGCCTCTTATCTTAATCATCGTACCTTTCGTTTTAGACACGAAGGCACGCTATCTTCACAGCGCCCCATCAAAGCTGGTGTCCCTCAGGGCTCAGTTCTTGCTCCTCTGCTGTACATACTGTTCACCAACGACATTCCCATTCCGCCGAAAGGTGTTCAGCTCTCCCTCTTCGCAGACGACACTGCTCTCTACTGCAAAGGTATCTCGCTACCTTTCATACGGAACAAGGTCCAAAAGTCAGTTGATGACCTAGGAGCTTGGTTCAAAAAATGGCGCATCGATGTGAACCCGGAGAAGAGCTCCGCCGTTCACTTCGATTATAAACGACGCCGTCTCAAAAACACTCCACCAATACGTATGCTAGGGACCCCTGTCCCCTGGCATACGTCTGCCAAATATTTAGGTGTCACTCTAGACACAGGGCTAACTTTCAGGCCCCACGTCAAAAGAGTAACCCGTCACGCACGTTTTTACCTGAATAGGCTCAACAGTATGTTGGGCCGACACAGTAAAATGTCCCTCAGAAACAAGCGTACCCTTTATAAGGTCTGTATACGACCAGTCATGTCCTACGCGGGCCCCATTTTCGCCCACTCTAACCCTAAAATTATTAATGAACTCCAAGTAGTTCAAAACCTTTTCTGTCGTCGAGCTGCTAACGCACCTTGGTACGTCCGCAATGCCGACCTTCATCGGGACCTAGAGCTCCCTACAATTCAACAATTCCTTAAAAAACTCTCTGAGAACTTCTTCAAAGCCTCAGAGTCGCATTCCAATCATTTTATTCGTGAGGCTGCTAATTATGCAGCCCCACTCCCCTCCCGCTATAGCGTCCGCAGGCCGAGGAACTCCCTCTCGGACCCGCCTAATAAACTTTCAAACGACCTGAACTGCCTCCTGGCGGCTCAGGCCAACTCTAATTAAGTTATTCATAATTAATTTGCCTTCCCAGGCACTCCCTCAGCGACTTATAGCCGCCTGCGCCCTCTTTTCCCAAAAGAGGGTCGCTTTACGATACGGCATGTGAAGCTTTCAACAGCTGGTTGCCAGTCCCCAAAGGCAGTTTTTAGAGGGTATCACTTAGGTTCCCCCTTGTAGGTAGTGAGTCCCTCATAACCACGATGGACCGGCCATCGTGGTATGCGTAATGCATTTTCTGCCTCCCTTCGGGGTAGCCCTTTTCCAATTGCTTCGGGCGCAAAAAAAAAAAAAAAAAAAAAACGACGATTTCAGTATCCCGCGCGTTGAGAACGTATAGTCGTATAGTGAATATATTGTGTATTAGTTGAGTTAGTATAACGTAACAATGGCACGTACTAAGCAGACCGCTCGGAAATCCACCGGTGGTAAAGCGCCGCGTAAACAACTGGCCACCAAAGCAGCCCGTAAGAGCGCACCAGCAACCGGCGGTGTTAAGAAACCACATCGCTACAGGCCCGGTACCGTCGCTCTCCGTGAGATTCGTCGCTACCAGAAGAGCACCGAGCTCCTCATCCGCAAATTGCCGTTCAAACGTTTGGTGCGTGAAATCGCTCAGGATTTCAAGACCGACCTCCGCTTCCAGAGCTCCGCCGTGATGGCCCTTCAAGAGGCTAGCGAAGCTTACCTAGTCGGGTTGTTCGAAGATACCAACTTATGCGCGATTCATGCAAAACGCGTAACCATTATGCCGAAAGACATACAGTTGGCGCGCAGAATTCGCGGGGAACGAGCTTAATAAACTCTACTCTACCGATTGTGTTGTGAACTACGTTTAATTTTTAACATCAATCATCGATTGGCAGTGTGAAAGTGGCAATATTAAATATGCCTCATTAACAACAACTACACGTTGACAAGATGATGATGATTGTGTTGGTTTTAACGTATGTTCTCTTTCACTTTCATAAAAGGCCCTTTTCAGGGCCGCATATGTTTCTACACAATAAACTGTGCGTTTCTTTAGAATATAAGAGAACGTTAAACGAGCAAGTAATAGATAGATAGATATATAGATAGATAGTATGGTATGGTAATATTATGAGTGTGCCGGACGGGCGAAACTCTCCGGAGTAAATGTTGTCGGAGATACCCCGCGAGTCGCTCACGTCCTACACCTGTAGGTTCCAGACTCCTCCAACTGCCGTCTTTCACTGCCGTCTTTCACTGCCGTCTCTTTGGTTGCTGCGGATAAACTGTGGACTGAGGTTCAAAATTAAAATGCACGATTTGTAAATTAAAATAGCAAGGGAGTGGCCAGCGGATCGACTAATTAATTTGTCGCGAGATTTTACACTGTTATTTATTTATCACTATTTTTCAACTATGATTGTTCACTATATATTTTAAAACACAGATTTAATTAAACACACAGTAATATTAAAATTTCTATTGGTTTTCTAAAATTTCTATTCGTATTTTTAAAATATCTGTTGGTAATATCAAATTTCTATTGGCAGTAACGAGTTTCTATTGGTATTCTCTACAATTTCTATTGGTAATTTTAAATATCTATTGAAAGTAACAAATTTCTATTGGTAGTATCCAAAATTTCTATTGGTAGCAGCTGGTTTTCTAACACTACTGACTAGCAGCTATTAATCAACTAAAATTAGTTGAATTTAAACACTTTTGTAACTGCGAATATCAGTTACCACTTTTTCCGTCTAGCTAACACTTTTCACGAAATGTAACGGCGAAATTTCCGTTACCACTTTTTTCAGCTAGCCAACACTTTTTCACTATATGTAACTGCGAATATCAGTTACCACTATTTTTGGCTAGCTGACACTATTTTTCTATGTGCAACTGAGAATTTTCAGTTGCCACTTTTTCCGACTATGTGTAACTGCGATTTTTCAGTTACGACCTTTTTCGGCTAGCTAAACTTTTCTATTTCACTTTAACTTTTCACTGTGTTCTGCTACTAGTCACTTCAGCTACTACCGGATACTGCTGCTTGTTACTAGTAGTTCTTCCTACTACCATGTTACTATGATTTGCCCCCATAAGGTAGACTTCGGCTATACTCTATAGAGAGCCGCTTGCCAATTCCCATTTGCCTCTTTATTTTCAATCATTTTTCTTTATGCAAATGGCACAAATTGCAACTTTTCTATATAATACAAATCTTAACTCTAACATGCTATACATCATTAAATAGACATTTTTGTTCTACATTAGTATGCGATAAAGGATAATTAATATATTTACATTTAACAAAGTTATTCATTGAAATGTCCTAAACTTTTACACTAATTGGTCATATTAATTCTTTAATTATCCTATAACTTTTAAATCGTGCTTAATTATACAATATATTTCTTTATTATAACGATCTATACATCATATGCTAACTAAATATCATATTTACAACTCTTTTCAGACATAAAATTATTCTCATTAATTTTTTGCTTAAAACTATTACGCAGTTAATTTAAATTTCCAGAAAGTTCTATAGCGCGGCGCGCTGTGATTGGTCGATATTTTCTTAAACAAAATAAAGTTGTTTATATTAACTATTGTCAAATCGACCTTCTATACAAACATATTGAGAGTTGTAAATACATGGTGAAACTATATTTAATACATTATTTAGTCAATTTTTCCGTATTTTCATTTTTTAAACAAATAAATATTCCTTAATCACTTTCTCGTTTAAAGTCATTTTTGCCGTTGTGAACAGTCATTTTGGCCGTCTCGAACATTTCTCCCGCCGTGCAGCGTCGCGAAGACCCGTCGCAGCGGCGCTGCATAATTTCGGTGAGAGACGTTGCCTCTACTTCGGCAGCGGCACGAGTTTTCTGGTTGGCCTCTTGATTAGTCCATTCGCTGTGCGTACCTCCACAGTGCGGATCTGTCCGTCCGCCCCGGGGTATATGTTTTCAATCCTTCCTCGTGGCCAGGTGTTACGAGGTAACTGGCTGTCAGCTATGAGGACTGGATCGCCCACCTGGAGATCGGGGCCTTGACCGTGGGCCTCCCGCCGGTTTTGAAGTTCCGGCAGATATTCTTTGACCCAACGCTGCCAGAACATGTCAGCGAGTATCTGGGAGCGTCGCCAGTGTTTTTTGCTGTTCGCATCTTTTTCACTAAAAACTCCAGGTGTTGGCAGTCTCGCAGATCCTCCCAATAGGAAGTGATTTGGAGTGATGGACTCGTTGTCTTTGCTGTCTACTGAGATGTGAGTCAATGGTCTGCTGTTTACTGTATATTCCACCTCGCAGAGCAGCGTGGTCAAGACATCTTCGTGCGGGTGTCTCTCATGAAGGACGGTGTATAGTGCCGTCTTCACGCATCGAACAAGCCGTTCCCACACCCCTCCCATGAAAGGCGCGGAGGGGGTTATAAATCGCCAGACTATGCCTCGTCGGCTGGCTTCTTCTCGGAAGGCCTCTCGAAGCTCCTTGTCGGCACCGTGCATATTGGTGCCGTTGTCCGAGTAAATCTCGGTGGGACATCCTCGGCGCGCTGCGAATCTTCTTAATGCCAGTATGGCAGAGTCTGCGCTGAGATCTTTCACAATTTCCAAATGTACAGCTCGTGATGTAAGGCAGGTGAAGAGCGCCACGTATCTCTTCTGATGCTGACGTCCCACTGTTACGGAGAGTGGCCCAAAATAATCCAGGCCGGTGAACGTGAACGGTCTCTGGTGATGTGCGAGACGCGTGCTGGGATGATCACCGGTGGCTGGCATGGATGGTTGTGCCTTTCTTATGCGGCACTGAACGCATTGGCTTACTATTCTTTTAGTAGTGGGTCTTAGTCTGATTACCCAGTAATGCTGTCGAACCTCGTTGATGGTTGGTTCGGTCCCGCAATGATGCAGGCTACGATGCGTCCAATCGATATACAATTGGGTGATGTGATGATCACCATCCAATATAGCTGGCCCTTTCATATCTTCAGAGACTCCTTTTACAGCGGCTATTCGACTTCGTAGCGCAATGATCCCGTCTTTCAATTGTATCTGTAGTGGTCGTAGGCGGCTATCATGGGCGACCCTCTTATCGTTACGGAGATCGGCTATCTCTTGTGTGAAGGAGTCTTCCTGGATGACATGTACCAGGAGCTTTTCGGCCTTTCTTATATATTCGGCCTCCAGTGTGATGTATTTGTTTACATCTTTGCTTTTCACCTGACTGGGAGGCTGCGCGAGACGTCGCGGATTGCACTTCGATCTCCTCCAGTCGGGGTCTTCCTCTCTATTTTTTTTTTTTGTCCTTTTATAAAAGGTCCTGTCGGTTGTTTTGCGGCAGAGTGTTATGCGAAACTTTTCTGGTTTCATCGGATTATGGACATCGAAATGAGGTAGATACCATGTCTTTCCTGGTGTACTATTCTTTGGCGCTATTTCGGCGTATCCCTTTTGTATCAGGGAATTCATTTCTTCGTTGTACTTCTGCTTTAGCTCTTCGTTTCGATCTAGTTTTTTCTCGATAGAAACGAGCCTGTTTATCGCCGTTTCATAATTTCCAGGCATTTCGATGTTTTTCTTTTTCCATAGAAGCGCTGTTTCTATGTGCCCGTCTTTCAACTGACGGGTGCTGCTATTTAGTATTTCTTCGGCTTGCTTCTCTGGATCGGAATCTGGTTTTCTCGGATTTATCATTAAAGATTCCAGCGCGAAGTATTCGCGGAGTTGGTCATTTATATTCTCCTCGCTCGTGTACAGCTCGTTGGCCGTGTGGACGCGCTGATGCGGGGCTTTAGTGTGCGCCCCGTGTAGCACCCATCCCAGTTCTGTGAGCGAGGCTATTGGCTGGTGCGGTGGACCTCTGCGTACTTGTGTGGCTATTAACAGTCTCCAGTTGTCTTGTCCTATCAGGATCCTAGGGTTGCCTGAATCATATGTCAATTGATCCTTTAAGCCTTTCAAATGCTTACAATTTTCTATGTCTGTTGCACGCACAGTCTGCGGCCCCAAGTTTAGGCTGGCGACCGTGCGTGCTCTGAATGGCACCCTTTTTCTATGGAGACTTTTTAGTGACACTTTGACTCTTTGGGAGTCCGGCGAATCGAGGGTAGTGTTCCCGATAGCTGTGATCTTGAATGGGTCCAACCGCCCTTTAGCTCCAATTTGATCGGCAATCTCTTGATCCATTAACGAGACTGTCGACCCATCATCCAGCAGAGCGTGTGTGTTTATTGCTCCCGCCGGTCCAATTACTCGAACTGGAATTATCTTCAAGTAAGCTTGATGCTTTGATACAGCGAATGAGTTTGCCACTGTCTCTTGAGGTTCTTTTAGTGGGCCCTCTGTCTTTTCCTTTCTATTATTATGAAGGAGTCGATTGTGTGTCGCGTTGCATCCTTTTATTCCACACTTCGTGGTTTTGCATCTGTGTGTCTGACTTCTATAACGCAGACACCGGAAACATAAATTCCTTTGCTTGGCGAGTTGCCATCTTTTATCAATATCTGCCTCTTTAAACTTGTTGCAGTCGGATCCGTAATGACCCTCTTTTTCGCACACACTGCATTTCGGAGACGGCTTAGTGGTAGCCGTGTGCGTCCTATGCACTGGACGATTATTTTGCGCTCCGCTTATGATCTCAGGAGGCGCAAATGCACTACAGTAGCGAGCTTGTTCGGTGATAAATTCACTGAAGGAACCGAGGTCTGGTCTTGAGTCATACTTTTCTGTATAAATTCTATACCACTGCGCGCGTATAGAGTTTGGCAGTTTGTCTGTGAGGTGTCGTAGCAGCTCTGCGTTAACGAGGTAATGGTCTCGCT